TTAATTTTCTCTCTTTAATTCAACATGTAGTAACCAGGTAATCTGACCGTCCCACTGTCACTCACAGAAAGACTTATTCAGGGCCTTTTAACTCCCATACAAATTACGGGGCGGAAACCATTACAATGGCGCGCTCTCATACAGCACCTTCTTACAGGAACCAAAATACGAACTGCTGCTGACGATACTTAAAATGTGCGTGGCCGCTGCGTGAGTTCGCGAGACGCAAGCAGGTGCGTAATGTTACAAAAGATAGCGACGATGTTCGCGCTTCTGTCAAAGGTTTCTTATATGAATATATTATCAATAATTAAACATTTAGAAGACACTTTTCGTATCTCTCACAAATTAGCCAATTTTTATGGACGAAATTGGCGAGTCTAACCTGCAGCTTCACCCGGCCACACAAGCGTCTCCAATCGTAGCACATTCCAGCTTTGACACCGGTTTTGATGGAAAGTTGCAAGGCTCTGAACTTATTCCGGGTCAACACTTACGGAGGTGTCATGCAATGCGTTTAGGTCAACTAATGGGAACTAACCATGATATGTGATCTTGATATTGACCCAATCCTTTCAGAATAATCTAAAAGAATCCTCAAAAATCCTCATTGTTTTTTCGGGAGGAATTGAATTGAATTAATGCCTTATTTTACGTGGCGAGACTTAGGCCATGAGGCCTGCTCTTCCGTCTGACCACGCAAAGTTCCTATCTCCCCGCAAATTTCCAAATCTCCTTTCACCAACTTGCTGAGAAAGGAGGAGGAGGGATTGCTTCTAATATTTTATTTGTGTTTAAGGTACTTACTAAATGGCCAAGAGCTCATTCGATTCGTCTCGACATGACCAATCGAATTGCACACTAGTTTTAAACGACACTTGTCTCTATTTTGAAACAATTCTAGAACAAATGTTATGTGGAGGATTGAAGACACCTACACTAAGAAAACGCATATTATTATTATAATACTGCTTTTCCGGTAAAAAAAAGGATCGTTTCGAGGTGATTCGTCAGATTGATGATAATTAATGCTGTAATGAAACAATTTAAAAAAATAGTATTTAGATTAGATTTTAGATCTGATTTATTTAGTCCAAAAACAGTAAAACCAGTAACTGACGTATGGGGGAGAAGATCATCTGCGCACGTTTTCTTGAGTTCCAGAATCCCTTCTCACCATTTAACTACAAATAGTTGAAAGATGAGTAAACGTTTAAAATATATAAATAAAAATAAATTTTAAACAAGCGCGAGATTAGCAATATTTGAAAACTAGACATTTTCGTTCCCGAGTTATACAAAACGTATTTTCAATGGTAGAAGAACTGCAGATATGATTTTTCTGCATTTGCTAATAAAAAGAAACTCGCTCATACCTCTACTTCTACCACTACAAGGAAAAGAAGAGTTCAACAAAATGTACGCATAGTGAAGCTACATTTATGTCCAGAAGCAAAACAAGGGCCATCTCAACATTTGCTCTATACATCAGGGAGACTGGATTAAAACGTGATCGAGATGGAGGTCACTGACTCGGAAGCTGAAGTACATTATTTGTTACAAGCATATTAAGTATTTTTTAAATTTATACAAATTTTGTTATGTATCTTTCTAAGCCAGAAAAGAGGTGAGTTAGGCAATTGTTTTATGTTTAAAATTATTTTTCATTTTGAATATGCACAGAACAATAATTTTTTTTAATTTGGAGATCTTACGTTAAGCTAGTTTCTTACTAATTATTTTATACCAAAGCACTACCGAGCATCTCTTGCGCAAATTCAAAAGAAATTTTGTTCAGCCCTGCCCGTTCTCACAATGACATGCTGTTTGACGGTCTCATTGACCGAAGGTCTTGGATATCACGCCACATTTAAATGATTGCAACGTCATGAATCTGGTTAGGAATGTTAGACATTCTTATTTATGAGATTTTTGTTTGTTATCTTGAATTTCATAAAGAAGACTCTTAAGGATGGAAGAGAAGAAGAGAAGATGTGAGCTTCTGATTTTTTGTAACCTCTTCAGTTCTAAAAAAGCCTAATATTAAAAGATAAAATGTAACTACTCTAAATAGATAAATATCTCGTCTTCCAACTATCAAATCTAAAGCTTTAAATAATGCATTTTAAGTCTTGCACGTTCATGAAACCACTATACAATATTTAGTAGTTTACTAAAGGGCAATGAATGGCATTTTAATAAATATACGTTATTAACACAACTACGTGAAAAGTTCAAAAAAAGTATACAACTCAATTCTTTATTACCGTTTTTTATTTCTCATCAAAAACAGTAAAAAAAGTTATGTGTGACCCATTGTAAGGAATAACTGCATCTCTGCAAGTTTTCTTAAGCTCTACTAAGCATACCCTAACTATGCTCACCAGTGTGTTGAATTAAAAATACAGATAGCAACGAGCGGTTTTGGCAAGATTTGATAAGAAAATATTTACTTGAGCCTAATAAAAACTATCTGCAACGGCAAGTGAGCTACAGATTTTGATTGTTTACCTTCAATTCAGTTGGCTTTGTTTGGACTCAATTCTTATTTCAAAAATAGATTATCTGAATTATTAAGCACTTCAAAAAAGTATGTACTCCTTTTACGTTACAAACCAATATAATAATTAATGTTGAAGTTTAAAAGTTAAATTTTAATAATTTGTTGACATTTTGAAGAAATCTTAAAGACAGACTTCATATTCACATGACTTAAATTTAGATGTGATTATCTTTTGTTCAAAAATGTGGTAATAATGTCATATTTCTAACTTACTCTACTCCTTGACATCTAAATTGAATTCAATCTATTGCGATTATACGACCCTTTAACTTTAATAGTCATGGTGGGATGAGAAGGGAAGAGAACGGGAAGATAAAATTCCATTCTCACGCTGTCAGTGATTCGTTGTAGGGGCTGTTTTAGCATATGCCTGGAAGTGACCTGCGAAACGACGGAAGGCACTGATTTATTTTGGCTATGAATTCGATTTCAGCAAGTGCCAGAAACTCACCGATATTAAAGACAACAAATAAATGTCTGGTAACCTGACGGGATCGAATCTGGTACCTCCCAATTCCCGCCACATTTGATCACAAGACGTTGCTTAAAGCTCACCACTACTATATTTGAATAGGTTATTGAATGTAGAGCATGTATAAAAAGTTTTCAAACTGCTGTTTCGGTTTTTATTAAGCATACAATTGCGCATAGAGCATTGCGCACATTTTAACATTACAACAGTCCATGCCCGAATGTGGATGAGCCAGGCAATTGGGTAATGTTTAAAATTCTTTTTTAACACGCCGTGCGCGAAAAACGGTTTTTCGTGCTTGTTTTACGAGTGCAAAAGAGCTAGTTTTTCCCATTCTAACTAATGGTGTGCAAAACATTACGAAGCCTGTGCGCAACATCGCGAATTGTGGACGAAACATGCTTCGCACACGAGGCGTTAAAATAGTAGTTTATGCAATTAACTTATGATGTTAAAGTTTATTGCATGAATACATGTTTTGAAAACGAGCGGCGTTAGGAGCGTGTTTTCAAATTTGTAGGAATGCAATACAGCAGCATTGTAAACGAGTTGTATACAACTTGTTTTGTGTAACAGCATTATAAATTTATAAAAGAATCAAACGATTTTGCGAAACAACTTTCTTGTGATGTCTCGGTGCTCGGCTATTCCAGTTACACCTCACCACAAATCTCTCGCTGCGATTGGTTGAATGTGTGATGACGCAATATTTTGTGCCGTAAAATGCTACTATGTTAGCATTTAGGGCGTAAAATTATCGATTATGAACAATTCCTGGCTTTTATGACGTTTCGGAGAGTTATTTTCCTCATGATTAGACAAATTACAAATACAAAGTTGTAAGTAATATAATTTTACTAAACAACAAATTTATAAAACTATTTCTTCCAATAATTGGCAATTTTTTTTCCCTTGCAAACCAAAATGGAGTTACGATGTGTCTTAATTAGTACGACTGCTATTCCTTGTACAACGTGATAATTTAACGTGAAAATGACTTCTAGGACGTGATTCCATGAACGACCGTGATGAATAGAGATCTGAATTTTATGTAATTACATATTTATGTCTTTCTACATGCCTATCTCAATACTGTAATCTAGGCGAATCGTCGCCGTCCGTATTTTTAATTATTTAGAACTATAGGTTTGAGTTATCTCAGAGGTGGGAAGTGCTCGTCAGTGACTACGATCATTTTCACCTTTAGGTGTGAAAAGCATCACTGATGCCGCGAATTCGTGTCTTTTAACCTTAATTTCCTAGAAGCTTTGGCGATCACTTTCCACGCTGCAGTGATCTTTTGCCTGTCGTAGATATATTGCCAGTTTGTACGATGGCTTTTATTACGTCTAGTCTGGCTGCTAAACTACGGTCCTGGTTATCAATGCACGTTATATAGTGAACATATAGTTGACAAGAAAGTTGTAAGGTGCAGTTACGTTATCCAAATGATATTTTTTTAATTTGTATTATTCTTAAAATGTATTTCGGATTTTTTTAAAATTTAATTTCATATTACATAAATATGTCGTGCCAGCTCTGCGTGCGGCGGTGCATGAGCCATAGAACAGGGTACCAGAGGACACTATTCGCCACCTGTACGATGGGATAACAGCCCGCATCAGGTCATACTGCCCGCGGCGGATGGCGGATACACGCAGTATTAAGATGGCGTTCCCGGTCATGTTTCTCTCTGTCGCTGGTCATGTGATTCTCACATGGCTCTGCCCATATAATCATAGGTGTTATTTTGTCTGAATGTGCTGCATCTGTACGAAATAATAAATTGTACAATGCAATCGCGGTGTCACAACACTATTTCCCGCCAGTGAATTTATCCCATATTCTTACTGATTTCATTACATATTTATGTTCATATTTTGACGCTTCATACCACATGTGTTTCGCGGTCTCTAGAGGTGAATGTGGCGTGCGAGTAACGCGGGTGGCGTGTGGCTGTTGCAGAGTTGTGCCACGCGGCAACCAGGATCCAAGCATCGTTCCGGGGCCACATGGCGCGGAAGCAGGCTCCCAAGGGCAAGCCCGAGGAGGACCTCAGCCGCGAGCTGCAGAAGCTCGACGCCAAGGTGGGTACAACGCACCCGCACCACCGTCCCACAAGAACCCTCCCAGCGCTTTACTACGCTTTAATTTATTTTTTTTACAACTTTGTATATACCGTCGGCTTCGGTTATAGTGAACTCGGATATAGTGATCCATCGGTTATAGTGAACTCGGATATAGTGATCCATCGGTTATAGTGAACTGGTCTTTTTCACTTACATTACAAATAATAATTAGAGGATTCGGTTGTAATGCACCTGATCCTAGGCTATAGTGAACGTAAGAAATAAATCCTGGAAATTAATTGAATATCTTATGTTATTAGGCGATTAAAAGGCCCTTGTGGGAGTGGGACCGTGTTCCGACAGTTCACGAGGCATTGAAAGGTGTCGAGACTGTACTAAGATACTTAAAGAAAGAGAAGAATGCAGGGTCAAGTATGGAGAGATCATGAACTCTGGAGAAGGATGTAGAGGAATTACTAATGAAACATTTATGAAGAATTGTTAGTTTCCAGAGGTTCACTATAACCGGTGTCGACTGTACTCCGGTTATAGTGAATTTCTGGGGATCAATATGTTCGGTTCACTATATTAGAGGTTCGCTAAACCCGATGATGCCAAAATTAAATAGAATTTTTCCATAATGATTGATTTTATTAATATAGAGATACAGCAAAATTCATTAACTGTAGGTACGAACTGAAAATTTCAATATCTTCATTTGTTCTTTAACATGAAATAATTTTCAATTGTTTGTTTCGTAAATTTTTCATTTGTAATTTCTCTATATTCTTCTCCAGAGTTCATGCTCTTTCCATTCTAGATTCTACGTCCTCTGTCTCTAAGTATCGTAACGCAGTCTTGGCTTTCAATGGCTCATGCACTTTTGGAACACCATCTCACTCTCCAAAGGCCCTTTTACTTGCCTAATAACATGCGAGATCCACTTAATTTTCAGGATATATTTCTTGCTTTCACAGCAGCCGATGTTCCAGTTCGTTATAACAGAATCTTCTTATTCTAATTTGTAATGTAAGTGAAACGGGACTTAAGTTCACTATAACCGGGATCGACTGTATACAAAAGTTGTATTTGCTTAATACATATACAATACATTACAAGTAGTATACAATAATAGGCTACATACTATGCACTTTTCTGTATCTCTCAATCATACTGATCCTTTCAACTTTGTCCTCTAATACTCATCTCACCTTATTTTGAATATTCCACCTTGTCCTACTTTCGCCCTTCTTCAAAGAACCCGACATCTCTACATATTCCCAGTCTTTTTTCATTTAATAAATAATACATTTCCCTCTCACTATTTAGAAAATATCTACTCCCACTAATTTCATTTCCTAACCTCTATCTTGATATCCTTCTTCTGTCACTTTGCTTACATCTCCCTTTTAAATAGTTTGGAACATTGTCCAACTGACATGATCGATGACGTTGCAAGAGATTGTGATAGAGGCATTTACAAATGAGCTAACTGTAAACATAACCACTAACACAAAGACTGCATGGACATAACTTGTTGCCAGCAGTGGCCAAGCGGTAGCTGTCAAAGCGGTTCCGTCTTATAGTAATCCCTCTATTCCCTAACCTTCCAGCCTCCATTGCTTCCTCGTTGTCCGCAACCTCCTCTCGACGCCTGTCCTCCGCCGCAACCCCCACCGTCCGCCCGGGCGTGCGTCGCCGGGGCAGTTAACGGGCTGCGGGCCGGCAGCTCGACAGGGCGGGGTGGAGCGGGGCGCAGTGTGGTGGGGCGCGGTGAGGGGGAGAGGGGGAGGGGGGCCGACGCTGGGCGTCGTTTACGGCGCTCTTTACGGGCGCGGGGGTGGATGCAAGGGGCGGGGCGCGAGGACAGAGAGAGGCAGGCGGCGCGCGGGGCTAATTGGCCAATTAATGCCCTCCCTCTCACCGACGTGAAATAACGCAGCCCCCAGCTTCCGTAAACCTCCTTCGCGCGTTTCAGGCTGTATTTGGGGGGAATACGCAATGATTCATAAGAAGTAAATATGTTTTTTCCACGGCCGGGAGTAGAACTTAATTTCTAGGCCACCCAAAGCGGGACAGAAGTACGTCATTTGCTCCTCTAGGAAGTTTTCATTATAAACACGAAAAAAAGAGATAAATATAAACCTGAAATATAATTAACAAGCAATTTAAACGAATACATATTAATTACTAGGAAGAGGATTTTTATGCTTTATAAAACCTTGAAATATGCTCTTATGAATACACATTTATGACCTAAAACGTCTCAAATATGCACTTTAAAATTAACAATATATTTTATTCTGTATAAATCTCTCTTGATAAATTGAGGAGAAGCATGATTAGAATGAATAGATACATTTTCGTGCAAACATAATATAACCTACTTACTTCGCGAGGCAGATAATTGAAGCAAATATGAACCTTAGAGAGGTATATTGTATGTCTTCTTTCATTTATCTGTCTAGTTTAAAAAATATATCAAGAAATATATTACATTTGCACAACTATTTTATCATCTATAGAAAAGAACAACAACTCAAACTGTGATTAGCTCTTGCTAAAGAATCACGCTCACAAATAAATATATTCTATGAAAACATGAAACGTTTTAAAGAAAAGTCACTTTTTAAAAGAAGTATGCAAAAAATGTTCTTCTAATTTCACAAATATGCGCCAACAGAAAAATCGGTCAAATATACCCAAATATGCACTAACATATTAATCTACACAGCACTCAACTCTAACCAAATGTCAAGAAATGTTTCTGAGAGCTATGCCCTGAAGAAAGGGATAAAACTATGCTAAATCATATAAATCCGCTCCCTATTAACTACCAATTTTCACACTAGGCGCATCCTAAAAGTGAGTTTCCCCAGCACGTCACCAAAAAGAAAACACAGTTTCGTGTAAAAACTTATTGTAGCACATTTAGTACATGTTGTACTACTTTTGCACATAATCACCACCTAAACTGTCATACCGTGGGATCAACATTTGTATCCCTGCATCGTAAACGTCTGCTGTCCGTGATACGCACCCGTGTTTGACACAAGTTCGGATCTTTTCTTCCACTGAAGAAATTCATGTACGAAAGCAAATCATAGTACCTATCCAAGGCGAAAGACGCCTACAAAATAAGGATAAAAATGTTGATCCCACGATATGATAAATGTCTCAGTTCTGATTGTGATAATGTGTAAGATAGTGTAAAATGTGCTGTATCTCATACATAGTTTGTCCATAAAATTGTGTTTTCTTTCTTCATGTCGAACTAAGGAGACTTACATGCTGGATGCACCTCGTACATAAACACTTCTACTGTTTGTAAAAAATGTTCGGAATATTTTTACACTCTATTGTCTTATTATTAACATACATTGTGCTTGTTAAATTAATCACTTTGATTTAGAACTTTCTTTGCAATATTAGTTTTATTTTCAATTGAATTTTTAATGTAACCATCAGATTTACAACCTTCGTGATCAGCTCCTGCATCAGCTGACACCTTAGTAGTGGCCAATGTAAACTTTATTATTTTCCGGTTTCAAACACGATGCTATAACACTTGGGAATTTTCCTATTGTATTCGTCTGCTACGACAAAACTGAATCTACGAGTCCTGACATCGGAAGGTCCTAGGCACTCCCCTAGGTTCTATTACCTACATCAGCACTGATTGAGTGTTGAAGCAATGAAATAGAAACTAATTTCCAGATCACCCATTGCCTGCGATAAGTGTTTCAGTTAAGAGACATTTACATTTAAAAAATGCTAGAATATTTTGGTATTGTCTACCAGTTATCACAAAAAGTAAATAGTTTGGCAGTCTGTTAAGGTTCTCGCCCATTTAAAGAAGGTAAATCCGTAAATTTCATTTCATTCATTCTCGTGCTAAACATTTGAAGTTTCTATACTAACTACTTTCTCAAAAATGCATTTTTTATGGCAATGTTTTGTAGCCAATTGTTTATGTCAGCATTTTCTGAGTATCTCAAGGAATAATTTAAAAGACTTCAATTTATTTTGCAGAACATTGCTTAAATAGCATTTTATTATGTAAACCTAAAAAATTCAATTTATATAACTTTTCTTGGATATACGGCATCCACTTTACATTATTAATAATAGTAGTAATGTAGTTTTAAAAGATTTTTAATTTTCATTCGCAGTTTAATGGAATATCCTCACTTTTGAGGCTTGCGTATTGGGCAGTAAATTTGGCTTAAAAATAAAAAATAATTCATTTCAATAAGAAATTTACATTCTAAAAAGTATCGTTTTCCGTTAAGACATTTATAAGGGGATCCGAAATATAATAGACCTCTTCCTGACATACTTTTTTAGACTGTCGCTCGTAAAAGCAGTCACTTTTAGGGCATGCACGGAGCGCTAAAAGTTATTTTTTATCTCTAGTGTTTAAAGTAAGATTATGCTCAAAGGGTCAGCTAAAACTGTGAATGCAAAAAGAAAACAAAATATTTTCGTCTGATCAGATACAATTGATCTATACCCAACAATCTCAACGCAGCACCCAATTGATTGGTTTGTATGTTTGTATTTAAAATAAAAGTAAAGCCAGTAAAGGCTGTTTGACAATTTGTGTATGTCATACACAAATTGTGCATGACACACGTGGAAAAGAGATTTTATTTTGCTTATTTAGAATTGCGACACTGCCACGTCGCAATAGTCCCTACTCGCAAAATAAAATGTTTTTGTTTTACCACTCAAACTCACTCAACAACACGCATCACAACTAGCTATTGAATGGGTACCCAGATATAGAATAATTTATTTTCTTCGTACCAGTACGATGTACAACCATATTCAATGACGAATAAGGCCTGTCGTCGAAACGGCCAACTGTTGAATCGGCCAACTGTCGAAAATGTATTGTTTATCTGCATTATAAAGTCGAGAAAAAGGTGAATGGAGTAATTCATTCACTTTATCACTCGTAATATTATTGCAAAAATTAATTTAAATCTAAAAAATATCTACTATGACGTACGTAT